TATTAGCAATATTATTTTTGAACACAATTCATAATAATTCTATAATTATTATAGAAATATTAAAAATTAAATGTACATGGCTTGTAAATTACATTAAAAATGTGATGATTCATTTTTTATGAATAGTTCATAAATTTACATAAATTTTTGTTAAAATAAACCCATAGTAAGTCCCAGTAATATTTAAAATAATTAATTTTTCTAAATCAAATAAATTTATATCAGTAGAATCGATGGACTTTGTGAAATTCAAAGTGTCTGAATTGAAAGTCAAATTGGTTATTAGATAGTATATTTGTGTGAGATAAATTGAATTCAAAAAAAATTAATTTTTCAAACAGTTTGCCTAAGTTTGGTAATAGATGAATGAATCTATAAAAATAGGTTAGATTTTTCTGGTTTTCTTAGCTTAGGTTGACCAAAGATGACTATGACAAATTTCCAGATGGAGAGAAAAGATAATAACCGCATTGAGATGCATTTACTTGATAGGTTTTTTAAATTGGTAGTAAAATGGTAATTAGGTTGTATCTGATAGCTACGCGAGCAGGTAATTTCTTGATGAGTCCAACAATTTTACCTGTACAATTAGTTTACAAAGGTAGGAAAGTTGGTAGAGACGAATAAATATATGCACTGATTTGGATAATTTGGAATTTGGGAAAATGTCAAGTTGTAGTTTAATTTATTTGTCAAATATTCTACAAAGACTATGGATTTCACATCATTAGATAGAGCAACTGCAGGAGTCGGGAACCTGCAGCTCCTTGGCATGCAATCTGTTAATTTTAGGATCAACAACGATACGATTACAGCAGCGTTTCTTAAACTGTATTCCGCGGAACTCTAGGGTTCTGCAAAGATCACTTCAGGGTTCCGCGAAACATAAGTAATTTTTTTAAAAATTTTTAATAAAATTACTTTAAAATGTCCAACTAAAGATTAGTAATGGTGAAAAACTATTTGCAATATAGAATAAAAATCTTGGTATATCGAATAATAATGTATAAGCCATATGGAATAATCTAAATTTATATTTAGTCTAATTAAAATAATTATTATTAAAGTATTTGTTTTTTTATTTTTATTTTTTTTTTTTATTATTTAGTTTGCCTTTATTGAAAATATTACAGCAATGCGATTACAATTTTATTATACAATTTTTTTTTTCATTAAATTAAGAAACCAGAAGAATGGATGAAGTTGATAATGGATAAAATTATGGGTGTGGAACGGCAGTTAAGGAGAAGTTTGAAATCGGGAGTGATGTATCCTAATGTTGAAAAGAATGAAAAAAGGGTCTGTCTACAAGAGAAGAGAGGAGGGCAGTGGAAAATTATATGATCGAAATCGCAGAGAATGGGTTCTTGGTGTAGAGTACAAGAGGGAGAGGAGTTTAAATTGAGTTTATAGGAGTGGTGGGGAAGTAAACTATGTCCAATCCGAAGACGAGTATAGCTCACAATAAGGCGCTTAGGAAGGTCCAGGTATTTGTACCATGGGTTGGATGGTATTTTGGAGACGATGTGCCGATACCAAGTAGCATTATTAAAGTATTATAATATATATGTATACAATTATTATTATTTTAATTTTTATTTTAACATATTTTTTTAATAAAATTGCTGAGTAAAATATATTTGTCAATTTTTGTACTATAAGTTTTTTCCGTATACTTACCTATAAGTCTCTAGACATCACGGTTTTCAAAAAAATAGGTCTTTCTTACGAAAAAAATCCCGATCTCTGGAAAAAAGTATTATTTATAATGCTTTATCGTTTTTAATAAACTAACAAAATTCCGTGAATCTATATTCACGGAATTTTGTTAGTTTTTGTAACTTTCTATAAAGAATTTCGGTGAAATAAAGGGATTTTATGTAATTCGAATATTGGTTTAGAATTTTACATTTGATTTATTTTTATTTTAGTAAATTTGAAAGAAGATTACAATTTTGTTGTTATCAGGGATAACAAACATTTTGCCACGTTGATCATGAGCATCTTTGTAACTACTAATATATTTTAAATGATGTGGAAGAGTGTTATTAGGTGGAGAATTTATGGAAACTATTGCTTTTTTTATTATTTCAATCGAATTTAAGGCTGTATTTTAGATTTTTTCATGAATTTTTAATGAAACCGCGTTTTAGTCTAAATGTATCCCAATAAATGGGGTCTCTATTAAAATATTCTATTTAAATAAGAACACCAGTATGCTCAGTAATATTAAGTACAGAGTATTTAGAATAACTTTTTTTTTTTGTTGAGATTTTAGTAAAAATATAACACTATACAGTTACAAAAATAACAACAATTAATTAAATTAAAATAATATGAATAACAATATCACACTAATAAAAACATATAAATAATAAGTGCTTAAAATTTTGAAGTATTTAATAACACTTTTTTATCAATTATACTTTTAGTAGATTTTGATATTAAGTAAAGAAACGTAACTGTTAATATTAATTTCTTTAATACATTAAATATTTTGTATTATATTTTACTTTATTTTGAGATTAATTTCAAGATAGTAACAATAATTGTTAAATTAATTTATTTATTTACGCTACTCTTTATCAATATATTATAATAAAAACACTTATTTTCATAAACTAGTATAAATTTAGATTAATAACATAAATAGATGTTTGTACGAATGCATTAATTGTTGAAAACCAAAAAAAAAATATTTTACACATAATTTATGCATAAACTATTTTTCATCTGTTAACCCTTTCAATATTGATTATTACTTGTTTTCCAAATTAATAACACTATTTTTTTTAGTTTTTACAAACCTAGAAAATTATCCTCGTTGTATTTAATTAATGACTTATATAAATAGTTTTTTTTTTTTTTTAATATTAGATGAATAATTTATTCTTATAACTAAATAGCTAAATAGTAATAGAAGGAGAAAAATAATGATTATATGACTAATTAAATGTGTATTGTGTAACATAACCATATTATAAAAATAAAAAAATTTACTTGTATATTATGATAACACGTACCATATTAAATAGGCAAAAAAATTAATAATGATAAACCCCATAGTAAAAAACATGTAAATATACACAATTTTCATGCTTTTATAACTATAATCCTTTCTTTGTCCTCTATTCCATTGTTTTATTTCGTAATTTATGATTTTTGTCAAATTCCATGCATAAATTCTAATTTAATTACGTATAAATAAATGTAGGTACTTTCACTAACATTAGTTAATTTTACTTAACTAAATAATGATAAAAATTGTTAGTACATGCATTGAGTTTAATTTATTTTATTACCTATAAAAAACCATTTTTCACGCTATTTAAAAGAAACGAAAAATATCATACAGATTACGAAATATAATTATTCAACGTACCTATATTATTTAATAAAATGTACCTTTTATAGGTTATTCTTCGTTTCTTTTTTGAAATATTTAACACTTACAAACAAACTTAATTCATAGTATTTATTCAATTTATATTTAAAAGATTTGTCTGTACATATTATACATTAATATATCACAAATCAATAAACTTACAACAATTTAACGAACAATCGGTGATTCGCAAATTGTTGGTACTTCTACTCAATATATATACATCAAAGGATGTTACACATACACATGTGTATGGATTATTTACGAACATATTCACAAAATACAAAACTCAAATACTATCAGTCTTTAATTATGTTTTACATTTTCTTTAATTTAAATGTTAATAATAATTTTTAACAATGTTTGAATAAAAAGCATTATCTAACTTGAATTTTATCTTTAAAAATATCAATTATTGCTTCATATACTTCAGGAACAATACTACTAATGACTTGTTTTAACATTCTAAACAGTTACTGTAAACTTGTGGACGATTCACCAATGGCTAGTAGGCATCGAAGTGTTACTGCAACTCTATCTTGTGTCGATTTTGGTTCTCTAGGAAATTGTTTTATTTTTAACAATTGAGATCCAATCAAATTTATACGGAAATCGAAATCACTTGATATCATCAAAAAAAGTTGAAACTATCCATTTACTTCTTGTGACCATAAATCGTTTTGTTATGAAATTCCTCTACACAGATATCGATTAATGAGTACACAGTGGAGTTTGCTGTCATTGTCTTTGACTTCTAGTATTTTTGTCTACTGTGAGACGAATGTAAATATAAACTGCAGCAGTTATTTGAAGTGACCTAATTAGCGGTCTATACTCAGTAACTGACAGAACAACTATGAAGTTTATTAATTATTATTTTATTGAAAATACGCAAACCCGAGCACGCGAATATACACACAAGTACATACGATTTTAGTTTTTGACGAACTGTTTGTCAAACAGTTTATCGAACATTTAACCGAACAGTTCTCCATTTTGTTAGGCTAGTGTGTAGTCTATAAAGGCATATACGCCTTTATAATAACCTGTTAAAAACAATATTTTCTTTTTTTTCATAATCTGTACCAAGGATGACCCAACTACGACTAGCGTCATAGACTCATGCGGCTCGCATCATATCGTAGGTTACAAAACATTTTTACAAAAAAAAATTTTAAGAAGTAAAATATTTTATTAAATTAAAATTTATTGAAAAAAATGAACAAAAAAAATATTATATTTAAATATTTATTTATTTTTACTTTTAATCAAAAATTAATATCTTATTTATGGTATTTATGAAGATAAAGTTAAGATAAAATTTTATTATATCTAATATCATATATTATTTACGATAATCATACTTATTAATATGATCTATTTTTTTCATTTCGGCTCATTCGTATTTATTCATATATTGGGTGACTAGCGAGTCTCTTCTCGCTGACTATCCATGATCAATACAGTATATATAGCATATGCCAATAAGAATAAAAGATTATTCTGCTATTGATAGATATCTAAAATGTAAATATTATCCTTCTATTATTGTTCTTATAATATGTTTTATACGGATTGTAATTATTCATAATATATCTTTTACGTTTGATTTCAGTACGTGGATCAGCAGTAGCAATGTGCATAACATTCAGCTTTAAAGTAATATTAATATCATTAACGTCAACACTGTTTATAATAAACACATCGTGAAAATTGTAGAATTGTTATCCAATCTTTTTGGCTTCTTCATTGAAATTATGTTAAATTTAATGTTATCTTGTTATTCAAACAAAATTGTATAATATAGATACCTTTTATCTGCACGAGTTGTAACTACCTACGTATTCATATTATAACATGTAAATATTTTTTTTTGATATTGTAATATTTTAGAAAACAAAATTATTTTATATAATACTACTACACCATAATAATTATTCATAATAAGTAAATTTCAAAATAAATTAAAATTCTTCAGTTTAGATCTATTTTAGTAGGTAATATTATTTTAAATTAAGATTTTGTTATATTTTTCTTTTAACATGCAATTAATCTTTTTTGTAATTTATTGTTAAACAGTACTGATATGTTACGAACGAAAATGCCTATCTAACCTATTATTGTAGTTAAATTGTATGAAATACATCACTTTTAAATATTTTACGGAGTACAACGCACAATTTATTTTATCACAAATAAATATGTGAAATGTAATTTTTTTATTTTATGTTATTTTTATTAATAATCTGTAGTTTTATATCTTCAAGATTTATTCTTGTTCAGCTTTATTTATAATGGTAAGCATTGCATTGAAAAAAAATAATAAAGAATGCTATATAAATATCTGAATAGAATTTTCAGGAAATAATAAGTATATATTAGCTTCATTTTGTCATAAATTAAGATACTTATACTTAAATGACAAAGCAATAAGATGAAAAAGGTTTGTATTAAACATCTTAGGTTTCTTTTTTAGAAACAGCTTTGATTAAGTTTAATTTTATATAAATCTTATAAATTTTAATCATGAGTACGATTTAATTTTAATTTTAAATTTTGAAAATATTTCGTATAATTTATTTATAGAAAAATATAATAATTTTAATTATATTATTATACTTTTATTTACCTAAACATAATAATAATATTTCAAGTAAATTCCATGTCAAAAATCTATTGCTAAAAAAATTGTTTATGAGTTGTAATAAGTATAAGGAAAAATTGAACCACTAATTATAATTTAACATTAATTAGAGCTATTAAGTACGTTTAAATAAACAACATAGATAGACAGTCACCATTTACGTTTGAAAAAAATTTGAAAGATGTTTAGTGAATAGAATGAAGTGAGATTGGATTAACTATATATTTTGGGAGATTTACAACCCCTAACCCCTAAGTTGCACCACTACTTCCTACAGTTTTTCAGGAAAAAAGAAAAAATACTAAACATTTTCAAAATGTATTTATTAAAGTTATTAAATTTAATTTTGCATTTGAATTTAAAAATAAAAATTTGAAACACAAATTATTTTGAAAATAATTTAAAAATATTAAAAAATCAATACAATTCACCGGATAGTTCAAACTTTTTTTTATTCAAACTTTGTTGTTCTAAACAGTTCCATAAAAGCTTAAACTCTAATAAAATTATCTATTAATGAAAATTCAAATTGATGTATGTATATATATGAATTAACTTAAAAAGCAAAGTACAAGTTATATAAAACCAATATGATAATTAAGGATAATAGTTACTAGAACTTCGGATTTTTATGCATCATATTTTTTCTTTTTTGGTTTATATAATCTTCATAAAAAAAATACCGTTTCGACATTATTTTATAAAAATATTTAACAGTAATCCTTAGGGTTACCTAAAATATTATTGGTATTTTTTTTAAATATGCATTGAGAGCATAATTTCGGTGATATAAATTGGTACATATTTTAGTACTATTTCAATATGATTAGATTTATTGAAAAATTATCCTTTTAATACTAAATATTCTATAAAAGATTACAAATTTAAAATTAAAATATCACTTTATATATGTTCTGTGTATAAATAATCAAATGTATTGATTGAAAAGTATTGTTTTAGCGTAAAAAATATATTATGTATCAAAATCCGTCCCCTACTTATGAATAATACTATTTTATTTTTAAACTTAATAATCATATCATGTTTATAATTAATAAAACCACTTAAAGTATTTACAATAGAATAATAAAAAAATATATAATATGTAATATAACATGAATAGTAATAAAGTAATAATATTAAGATTTTAGAATGTACCATTTTCCATTTCTATTCTAAATAAAACCTAATGTGAAAACTGCAACAAGTATTCTATTAAAGAGTTGAACAAGGCACGTAAATCAATCACTCTTTATAGTATAACGTTGAGAAAATGATAAATAGTTGAACTATTAAATCAATTCAAGAGTTTTTTTCTATAACGGTTACATATATTTTCTATTCTAAGTACAGATCGGTTTATATTTTCATCGGTGGCCGCTAACAGTAATCCAATTTCGATTTTATAAGTTTTTCCTTATTCTAGGGGGTAAAAAATAAGGAAAGGTGGAGGTAGGGATAGAAAATAAAACAATAAATATAGTAGTTTTTGTTAGAGTTTCAATATAAAAGAGCACAGGATTACTGTAGGTATACGTCATGGATAAAAGTTTTTAAAAGTCGATAAATCCCTCAGGCGACTTGCTGGATTGAAAAACTTCAAATTTCGAGGTTATTCTAACAATTTTGAGCTATTTCACTGAAGTTTATTAGCTTTATTTATTGAAGATCACAAAGAATCACAAATGTAATTTATAGTTTTTGATTTTACAAAAATTGAAATCTACACTTTTAAATCATCTAACATCGAACATTAGAAAAAGTATACACAGATAAAAACTTAAAAAAACATTTTTCAAGAGTTATAATGAAATTCTATTGTTTTTTTATTTTTTTTTTTTTATTTTTAAATTAACATAAAATAAACCAATATTCTTCAAGACAGCCATATCAAGTATATATTTATTAATACGAATTCTTCCAAATAAAAGAGCTTTTCATATGTACACTATACTTTTAACAAAATACTACGAATAAATGTAACAGTCAAATGTTCATTAACAAAATATAATATCCATTAAAGAAAATATATTTATAATATGTACTTGAAGTATCAAGATACGATTATACATAGAAACAATATAAATTATAACAATAATATATTTTTTCTGTGTATATCTTAAAAATATACCATCACGTACATAATATTATTATAAACGTGATAGTATATTTTGTTACACGAATTTTTTAATCTACAGTTATATACAGGGAAAAAAGAGGACTCTAAAAGGTTTATTAGTGAGTGGGGTTAATTCTTATTTTAGTTTTAGATTAGCTAACTAAATAAAGAACTGAATTTAAAATCAATAAAATACAATTTAAGACAATTGTAGCAACTTGAAGCAATCTAATGGCTTTTAAACTATATTTCCGTGCAATATTTTTAAGTTTATATTTTTAAATTTAAAATAGATTTTTAAAATGTACAAACAATAACCGTTCCTAATAAATGTGATAACAAAGAAATATGTTTAGTATTTTTGATTATTGTAGAAACAAGGTCAGAATTTATATTGACTAGTATACCCGTATACTTACATATCACCAATTACAAATACGTATCAACCAAAAAATACAGAAGTTTTTATACGCCATATACCCGTGTATACGCTCCACTACAACATTGAGTATATATGATAACAATAATTTAATATTACCTATATAATATACACTAATAGTTTTTAAACAGTAAGCTGTTGTTGAGGATACTTAAAATGGTATGTAAAAATGAATGTCAAAGTTATAATTTACAAAAAGAAAATAATTATGCTTTTGCGTCACAAATAAAGTTTATCGATAGCCAGAGAACAATATAAAAACGAGAAATACTTCAAGACAATAATTTAGAGCTATATAATTTAGTATAGGTACTATTCTGCAATAAATCAATTGCCTCTGTATTTATAGTGTGCCAGGATGTAGCAACAAGTTCATTCATTATTGGCAAGTCTGGGCATTAATGAGTTAATAAGTCAAAAGTTAAGTTAAGTAACTTAACTTTTGACTTATTAACTCAAATTATTTCATTGCTAATAAATTTAATTAACTTATTAACTTAACTCTTTTCCATACAGTTTAACTTAAAATTAACGTATTATTTTTTTATTCATCCCAAATAAGTTAATTTTGATTTTCAAAACCAGAAAAATATTTTTATAAAATAACGCATTCGATAACAAGTTTATGAAATTTAGAAAAATTATAAATAAAAATTTCAAAGAATTATTAGATAAGAATATCATTTTGATCATAGTATTAACCACCCGCCGGTCACGGGAAAATTAATCAACCATTTTAAGACTATTGAGTAAAAAATAGGTATGTCGCCCATGATTTACATTACCATTGTCATGAAAAGTGGCCGTAAATTGATATTACATAAATCGGTACCTAAATATTATCATTAACTATAGAATAAAATTATTATTAGAATTATTCCATAACCAATGATATTATTAAACATTATTGAATAAGAGAAAAAATTCAATAGATAAAAGTTAAATAATATTATATATTTATTTACTTACTTATATTACTTTTAATAGTACATCGAACACTATCAAATATCAGCACATCACACTATGACTATACTGATCCTAAAACTATTATAAAATTTAAATTTAAATTTTATTTGTCTTATAAATATTTAAAAACATTAATTTTTAATTGTACCTATTACGAGTACTTGTAGTGGTGTCAAAATCACTTCTTTTTACATATATTTTTAAATAGCTAAATTAATAAATATTGTAAAGTATATTGTAATTGGAAGTATATGTTGATACTCGCTTCTATATTATACCATAAATAGACTTTTAAATTTGGAGTATTACATGATAAACTCTTTAAAAACTCATTGAATGCAATATTCATCGTAACAAGTTGTGAAAGTTAAACAATTGAGAATATAATTTATTACCAAATGCCTTAAAAAAACTTTTCTGTACCAGAATACGCAAAATGTTTGTACATTTTTTTTCATTTTTTTTCTGAATTAATAGTTATTTAAAAAATAAAATAATATAAACCTAATTACAAAATATAGTCATAAATTAAGACTTATAATTAGTACAACACTATGAAAATAAAACAAATATTTCACTCAATGACAATAAAGTGAATTAGTAATGAATTCAGCAGTGTTAAATTCAAAATACAAATAATGTCCACAAATTAGGAAACGAAAATCATCTTATAGTTTTTAATTCTCAAAAAATTAAAAAGAGTAATGATTTAAAAATTATATACTCATAAATTTATGTCTTTTTTTAATCATT